GCTGCCCTCCCCAGCCCAGCCTCCGTGGATACCAGCCCACCAACCAGCCCTGCAGAGAGACAGCATCCAAGGTCTGGCCTGGCGCGTGGGGGTCTGTGCCCCCTGTCCCACAAGTCTCCAGGCCTCTTCCAGGCCTGTGGGAGTGCATTTAACCCCTTCCTTCCTGGGGTTATTCTTTTAGCTGTGGTTCCTGACCTCAGCCTGAGTGTGCCGGGTGTAGGCCCCTCTGCCTGGCTCGAAGATGAGCAAAGAGAGGTGCCCTCAGTGCCCACCACAGGCCCATGCTCCTGTACCCTCTGCCTCTTCCTTTTCAGCCTTTGTCTGCAGGCCACGTTGGGCTGCAGCCCGGGAGCCGACAGTGGCTCTCGGCTGGGAAGGAGGCAGGGCCGGGTGATGGGTGTGCGGCTGAGCTTGGCTCGGCTCCGCTCCAGACCCCCGCACAGCGCTGCAAGGCCGATTTCTCGGTCGTGATTTCACTCTCCGGAACTGTCGCTTTGCTACCCAGCGAGTGTTGCAGATGCTTCCAGCAAAAGCCGCCCTCCCTCGCATGCTTTCTTTCGTTATTTCCCTGTGTCCCCAGGTTCACCTAGAGAAGCGAGGGGAGTGCACAACAGTACAAGGAAAGACCCAGGCCATTGCCCTCCTCTGGCTTCGTTCAAAGAAAACGAGGGAGGCTGGATCGGCGCGGCAGGGGCGCTCCGCGTCTCTGGGAGCTTTTCGGCCAACGCAGTCATGAGCGCCGGTCCGAGCGCGCAGGAGCGGCGGTGCTGTGCAGTCCTCCGAGGTGGACGCCAGCGGTGCCCTTTGTGCCCTGCAAAGCCTCTTTGTGCAGCCGGCCTCGGGAACATGGAGGACAGTTCTGTGTAAGCGGGTGCTTCAAGAGCACGCTCCAGGTCGAGGCAAGGGAGGACGGGAAACCCGGGACCTGGGTCCAGGGCCTCCGGGTACTCTGGCAGAGAAGCCCGCTTCCGGTGGTGACTGGCCCAGTGGAGCCCCAAGCGCTGGCCACGCGGTACAAGAAGCCTCGGCTCACCGGTCGCTGGCGCAGGGCCGCGGGCCAAGCGGAAGCCAAGGAGATACCCCGGCTCCATCAGCGGGCGGATGAGAGAGGGGACCTGCTACCTACCCTGCATCCCAGAAAGCCTGGCAGGCTTTGTCCTGGATGGGGCAAGAGGCCAGCCAGGGCCTCAATGCTACACTGCCTGAACTCTCTGTCTCTGTCTCTGTCTCCGTCTCTGTCTCCGTCTCCATCTCTGCTGGGAGATTTGGGGTTTCCCCATCCATGGGCAGTGTAACTTTCTGCAGCTTTGCCCTAGCATCCCCCAACCTCCTCCTGGGCCCTCCAGAGAGTGCCCACCCTTGAGGGTCCCTCATCTTTCTCTGAGGTATTACCATTTCTGGTCCCCTCTATTTCTCTCCTCCTTCCTTCTTCCTTCCCCTTCCCCCTCCACCTTCCACTCCTCTTTTGGGGGCAACCTAGAAGCCTCCCTTCTTCCCATGACCCAGCTTGACAGTGCACTGGACACCCCGACACCCTGGGAGAGCGAGGCCCCCACACAGGCCGCCTGCCTGCAGACAGCTGCTTGTTACAGTGCAGGCTGCTGCTCTGGGGTGGGGTCTGGGTCTGCGTACCCGAGGCTCAGGCAGTCCCGAAAATCAGAGCATCCTGGTGAGCACACAGCCTAACTGGTTTTCACAGGCGGGCTCTGAAGGGAGCTCAGGGTTCTGGGTCTTCTCTCCACCTCTCCACGCCCGGGAGACAGGAAAAGCCTCGGCCATGTTCCCTGAGGGTCCCCAGATTTCCAGGCAGTTCCCCCCACAACCCTAAGCAAGTGTTCACAGCATATTCCCTCAGCAGCCCCATTTTCCTAAAGGCAAGTGGACTTTGCAGTGTTTGTTTGAGACACAGGGAGGACCCCTACCAAGTGTGTTTCTAGCAAAAAAAAAAAGGTGAAGATCCTTCCATCGATGACCCTGGTGGGAGCGAGGAGCAGCTTCTCGCGATGCCCAGACTCCCAGAGAAGAGAGCCCGGCCAGCTCCAGTGCGCACCCACACACAGGCCACCGTTCAGTGCAGAGCACCGATCCCGTGCACCCCCACACACCCCAGTTCAGTTCTCCCAGAGCAGCACCCCGGAAACTGAAGCTTCTCCCCTGTTCTACCCTGGAGCCTGCTGTGTGGACCCAGCCTGTGCAGCGTGTACTGTGTGTGGACTCCGGAAGCTGAGCCGGGCTGGGTTCTCTCTCCTCTCTCTCTCTCTCTCTCACCCACACACCCACACCCACACCCCCACACCCACACCCACCCTGCAAGCCTTGAGATGGCCCTGCAGGTCTTGCTATGGTGCTGCTGGCCCCTTCTCTCTGGGCCTGGCAGCTCCCTGCTGGCTGCCCCAGCCTGGAACTCAGCTGAGTGGGCCTGGGGGCAGGGCACCCCCAGACAGCGGTGGGACCTGGTGAAGTGGGCTGGGGGCTCCCTCCGCCCTGCCCATGCAGCCTCTGCACCAACGATGCTCACGTGGCACCAGCGCTCCTGCCTCAGAGCTAGAGCCTTGGAGGGTCGGCAGAGTTCACACATTTCCATAAAAATGGGGTTTAAAGGGTGGCGAGGCCAGCCCGGGTTGCAAGGGTGTTTGCTGGGGAGAGCTGAGCAAAACGGAAGGAGCCAGGACGCGGGAGGAAAAGGAAGCTGGACGTTCTGACAGCGGCTGTGGCTCTGGTGTTTGGAAGGGGATAAAGCAAGGGCGGACAAATCAAGGCCCCCACCCTGTAGGCAGACTCCTGGCTTCTTTCTAATAAGTCCTTTTCTCCTCTGAAACTAGTTCAAAGGGTTTGAAGGCCTGAAAACGAGAGGAGTTAGGGAAGTTATGGGGTATGGGTCCGGAGATCGGGCCGAACTGCGGGGGCCAACTCCTCTCCAGGGTATTTCTAGTCCCGATAGTTTTGCATTTTTGGTTGAAAGATCAGCCCTCCTTGCCTTTCCAAAATTGATTTAGTTATCCCCGCCCCCGTTTTCTTTCATTTCTCCTTCTGCAAAGGGCTCCCTAAACCGCATCCCCGCGCCGCTGCGGAACCGCGCCTGATTCCCAAAGTCCCGCGTCCGGGCTGGCATCCTACCGGGTGCACGCGCCTCCCTGCACACGCACACGCGCGCACACCTAGCATGAGTGCCTGCGGGAGGAGCGTCCTGCGCATCCACAGGACGCCGCCGGGTTACCAAAGTCAAGTGTAAGTGACAGTTTTCCTTTCCACCAGCAAGGAAAGCGGACTACAAAAGTCCCTTTGTATCCCGGCAGTTCATTTAATATTATTTATGCATTTGTGCAAGGAATTGTGGGATTTCTCCCCACGGTAAACAATATGGAAATGTTAAAAATAGCCTTGCAGCCTGCGTCCACGTAGGCGCACCAGGGTGACCCGGCAGGGCTGTCGCATGGTTCTTCGGATCCTCAAGCCGAGGAGATACCCGGAGAACTCGAGCAAGCGCAGAGGATCGGGTCCTAGGCTAACGGGGTTGCGGGCTTCGGCTCGGAGCCGGGGAACGCGGCCGCTTTAAGGGGGGGAGGGGCTGCGGCGGCGGGGGAGGGGCGGCGGGTGGCTCCTGTCACCGAGCGGCCGCCGGCGCGTCACGTGGGCGCGCGGCGCGGCTACCATTGGCCCGAGGCACGTGTCCAGGAGACCGGTCCGCGACGTCACTCGAGGTGGCTCTGTTAAAAATAAGAACAAAAATCCAGAGTGAAAGTGTCTCAGGTTGCGCTAAGTGGCCTGAAAATTTCCCGACCCTCGCGGAGGCCGAGGCAGCG